CTTAACCGACTGAGCCACCCAGGTGCCCCTAACCTTCTAATCTTTAGATACCAAATAAGTTTGCTTATATTTTCTTCTACTACTCACGGTTTCTTTTTTTAAAAGATATTTGAAACTTTAATGCATCTGGAATTTATTTTGGCACAAATATGAAGTATAAACTTAATTCTCCTTTTTCTCAAATTGTTAGCTCAATATTTCAAACATTACCTGCTCTTTTTCCAAAAGGAAAAAGTTTCCTTTATTTCTTAATTATAAATAAAATATATTTACTATAAAATATTTATACAATAAAAGAAAAGAGCAGTAATAGATAAGATTGGCTAATGTTTTAATATAGTAGATCATGGGTACTGTAGCTCATTATATTATTTTGTATATATTAAGTTTGAAGTTTTTACTAAAGGTTTAAAAAATAAATGTGGATTCACACATCCATATATTTCAAACTAGAGGCATAAAGAAAAAAAACACACATAGGATTTTAGTATCTCCAATTCTTTAGTATTTAGTATTTCCAATTCTTTTAATGTATACACATACTTACATACCCGCTTTATTAAAATGGGATCCTACTGTACATGAAACTATATAATGTACTTATTTTTTTCCTTTTTCCATGTTTTTAATTGCCATTATTGCACCAATACGGCATATGCTTTATACACATATATATTTCATTTTCAATTTTATCATGTACTGTTTAAAGTAAATATTAACATCATTTCCATCTCTCCAGGCTAATGAACATACATATCTTTGGTAGTGAATACTTTTCTGTGTCCACCCAGACCACAAATGACCTTCTCAACTGCTCCTTCACCCTCTGAAATAAGCTCAGGCATTCCTATTGTACTTTCCCACCCTGTCCCTGAGGCCACAGTTGATTGAATAGAATTCAATCCGGGCAATCAGATTCTCCGTGCTAGGAATTTGGAAATGGCACTGGTCTAGGTTAAAAGGAAAAGTAAGAGCAGGAGCTACAGAGTAACCATCTTCTGCTGCCTTCCCTATGGTTGAAAAGCAGAGGAAGTCTGCAAGGAGTGAATAAAGCAGACAGAGAAGCTGCCTGGTACCCACAAAGCTTTTCAGCTCCCAGTCCCAAGAACCCCTGAACCCATCAGCGCTCTTGCTCTCTGCACCCTGAGACATTCATTCCTGTATACTTCAGATACATCCCCCTGAATTGTTGAAATTACCCAGAGAAGAGGTCCAGTTCTAACTACAAGCCCTCTGTGCCCAAAGTTTAAATGTAATTTCTTAATACATTCCATGGATGGCAAAACCTCTGTGCACAGACATTTTCAAATGTGTGGGGTTTTTTTTCTTATCATTTGAAATGAAGTTACTTCCTCCTCAAACTTGAGTCTCTTACTTCTTAAAGACTGGGAATTTTGACTGGTTGCTTAATCTGTATTTTATTCTTAATTCATTTATTCATAAAGAAAACAGGGGCACGAGGGTGGCTCAGTCGGTTAAACGTCTGACTTCAGCTCAGGTCATGATCTGGCGGTTTGTAGGTTCGGCCCCACGTCTGGGCTCTGTGCTGACAGCTCAGAGCCTGGAGCCTGCTTCGGATTCTGTGTCTCCCTCTCTCTCTGCCCCTCCCCGCTCACACTTTGTCTCTCTCTCTCTCTCTCTCTCAAAAATAAATAAACGTTTAAAAAAGAAGAAAACATCTATGAGGGCAGGCACAGTGCTGTGTAATGAGCATACAGTGGTGAACAAACATGGCAGGAAGCTTGTATTCATAGAAATTTTAATCTATGGAGAAAATCAGTTTTCAAGCAAGCAAATAAGCTGGATAATCCTGATTGTGTTCAGTGGCACAAATGGCCTTCAAAGAGTTGATCTGATAGAGAGTGGTTATGCATATGTGTGTGAGGCCCCTCTGAGAATATGAAATTGGGGCTGAGAAATGAAGGAGCCATCCACGCAGGGAGCTTCAGGGGAAAGCACTCTGGACAAAGGAAACATGTAAATTCAGGATCCAAGCCAGGAAAAAGATCAGCAAGTTCAAGTAACAGAGAGGAGTCCTGTGCAGGTTGGACTAGTTAGTCTGAGGGAGACTGGTATTGAGACAATTTGTAATACATTTTTATATTGAATCATGAATTAAGGATGTGAATAGATTTCAAACTTCCATGCAGACCTATGATTTTGCATGAAGTATAATCACAAATGTTGGGATCATTTGCATTACTCTGCCTATTTAGTAATATCACAAGAGTGATTTACTATAATTTGTTACATTTTTAAAGTATTAGATTTCTATTAAATACTTTCAGGTGAATATTGCATTAGAATGGCATTCACTTCTGAATAGCTTATTTTATGTACCCACTTATCCCTAAGAAGTCCACACTCATTAGGACCTAGACTGTGATCAACACTTGCTACATATGAGGCATCCCAAATTCCCATGCATATTTCAAAAGAATGTGAATTTGGGATTTCTTATTATTCTTCCCCCAAAACATCACCTCTGTGATCTCCAGTATTCAGTAACAACTACCTGACGGTCATTTCTAATTATATCACCTACAAGTGAGTTTGTTATCCTCAGGAACAAGTAAAACCAGTGCCCAGTGTGGAGGTTAATATAGAGAATGCCTCAAGAAATCCTAAATGAATACATAAAATGCTAACAATTTCTGAAGGGAGAATCACTTACTTAGATGATCCTTCAAAATTGGTATTATCCTAGTTTAAAAAGAATAATCTTGAGGTATTGAGGTGGATATCATAACTTAAAAGTGATGGTAATGAATAAAGTATGCTAAATTAATGAATGAACAAAGAACAACTGTATCTTAATTCCTGGACTCGCAAATTTTCAATATTAACCTAAATACCATAGAATTATCTAGAGACAACTGGAATGTCTCTTCTATTAACCAAAGAACTACTACTTTTCAAAGAATATCCACATTAAGCACAGAGCAGTGTGCTTGGCTACAGCTCCATTATCAATGGAATAACACCTTTGACCTACATTTTGTCCCACATGCACTAGACTCATGTTCCCAGCTCTGACATAATGGTCAATAATGATGGCTGGTCTACCACTGACACGTGTTTGTCGGATTTCTCAACTGAACAAATATTTGTTGCTGTTTGATCCTAACATGAAAGTCAAAAGTCAGACTTATCTCAAATCTTGGTTATGGGCTATTAATGATTAAAAGAGAGAATGTGACAGATCGTATCCTTAGATAATTATTTTGTAGGTAGAAGTTTGGGAAAAGGCATTAACTCTTTGGGGTAAAAAAAAAAAAAAAAGTCACACACCTAATCAATCTGTAGATTAATTTAGCAGGATAAAATGACTGGTAAGCCACTAATTACACTATCTCTGACTGTTACAACTAAAGAATCTCACAATATCAAAATGAAGATACATAATTTTCTTGAAACATCAATTCCCTTTAATTAAATACATCATAAATTATTATTAAGTCCTGCTTTAAAGAAAATGGAATCGTGGGTCATATTTTAAACACAAACATTCTGTGGATGGCTAATAGTCCGCGCTTTTAGAACAACTGGTATAAAAGCCTGGAATGCACTCATTTATTAAACAGTAACATTGAGACTTGAAAGGGTTAATGCAGCTCCCCTAACATCTGCCTTATAACCAGGGAGAAGTTTATTTATCAGGGTACATTGGCTGAATAAAAACTGCAGAAGCTTCTCCAGAATTCAATTTTAAAGAACATTTCCTGAAGGAGATAAGACCTTCGCTAAAAAGGTAAAGTAGTATACCTGGGAATAAGTAGAAGCTTTTATTCTACCACCATTAATTATAGAGGACTTTTCAGATCACTAAACTGCTTACAGGAGGTATAAAATTATAACAGAAGAAATCTCAAGAAGAACAGTCAATTATGACCACCTACTATTTCAAACACAGACCTTCTTAATCTCTTAAGAAGTTCCTCATCTGAAGCTCATAAGCATTAATCATTTACCTAACTATAAATAAATTAAATGTTTTTTGGTGTATTTACCTTTTTTCCTTTGAAGTTGAGGGTACCAGGCTGCTCCAGGACCCCATAATACAAGCACATAATGTTGACCTTGGACCTGTTCCACTGTTAACATAACTTTCCTTTGCTTCTTTCCTCTATAACTGTATAATGCCTCTGGAAAAGAAATATTTTAATTGGCATTATTCTCTCACAGGTGACACCATACTCTAATGTCTCGTGATAAATACAACCGTGATACCCAAATGATATCCTAAGAAAGTCTTGTATCTTAATTATTTTATAACCTAAAATTGAGAAGGAGCCCCCAGTGTTTACCTGTCAGTATAGTGATATCAACAACCCTCAGCACCGCATGGACTAACATGTCCGGCTGCAGCTCCTCCAATTCTACAAATTCTATACTGCTCACTCTCTGAGGCTGCCTCTGAGGAAGATCTCGGAGATAGGAATGTTTTGAAGACACGTATGCCAGTAAGTCTTGAAGTACAGCATCACTGACTATCTTGGAATCTAAGAAAGAAAAACACACACATGCAGAAAAGATGGCAAAATTATATTTTCTTGAAAACACAGTATTTTCTTAGAAATGCATTTTATCTTGTAAAGTGTGATTAAGTGTAAAAACCACACTTTCATTTCTACAAATATGTAACTTATTCTTAAATGTTTAGATGCAAAACATAAGCCTGATTATTTTTAACCAACAGAATTAGAATTATTTACTATCTCCAGAAATAACTTGCCCTGTTCCCTTCTCGGTTCCATTTTTCTACCAATTAACTAAGACCAGTATTTCTTTTTCTTTTTTTTTTTTACTCCTCCATTACCCTCTTATACCCAATCGGTCCCCTAATCCCTGCAGTCTGATTGGCTCACACCTTCCACGACCATCCCAACCACTGCTATTCTTCCTCAAGGCTCTTACATTTCTCACGTGAAATGCTCTTAAGGGTCACCTACCTGACCCTCCCTGAACATGTCTTCCTTTTCCCCACTTCTATGCCTCTGTCCTTACGATTGTCCCTGGCTACAATGCTGCCATCCTCTCAACCTATCCAAATACTACACAGAATACACTATGGAGAGGCTCTCAGTGACTTCTTCCCCTGAACTTAGAGGGTTTTTATCTCCAGCTCCCGTGTGGCATGTGAGCATGTGCTACACTGGCATATTCCCTTGATTATTAGAACAGTTATTTAGTTCTTTGGTCATTATGCCATTTACATGTTTTTCTCCTATGTTTAAATTATTTGTCTCAATGTTTCTCATTTTTTGAGATACATTTACATATAATAAAATGCACACATTGATAAGTTTGCTGATTAAAATTTAATTTCCTTGAAGGAAAGGGAGGTGTATTTGAATATATGGTGGATTGTTGATCAAAATACAATCTTAGCAAAAGGCACTTACGTACTTTTTTAGAAGGTTGGGTCTATTTGCCGATTTCAGTAGAAAAAAAAAAAAACAAGTAATTCTTCTTTCCTTCTCCCTTTAACACCCTCCTCCTAATGTATTTCTTATGCCACACGAAAGCCTCATTATTCATTCACTCATCAGAAGACCATCCACTGTGTGCCAGGCATCATGCCAGGTTCTAGGGATACAAAGATATACCTTGTCTGTATACCTGCCATTATACCTGCACAGAAGAATTATCAACCTAGAGACAGTCAATAACAAACACAGGGCTTAGAGTATAAGAGATACATGGAAGCATTCTAACAACACACAAAATCAACTGCCCAGGCAAGTGGAAAGAGGCTTTATTGAAGAAATATTTGAGCTGGGTTTTGGAAAAATGTCCTGGAGTTTTCTAGGTAATAATTGGAGAAGGGGGTATATCTCCAGGTAAAGAGAAAGGGGTCTGTATTCCTTTATGTATTATAGATGCCTCTGGCAGTCTGATGAAGTATAAATCAATTATCAGAATAATATTTTTATAATAGCCTTATTGAGATATAACTCACATGCATAAAATTATCTTTATCAGAATAGTATTTTTATAACAGCCTTGTTGAGATATAATTCACGTGCATAAAATTCACCTTTTAAAGTGTATAATTCAGGGCACCTGGCTGACTCAGTCAGTAGAACATTCAACTCTAAACCTCAAGGTCGTGAGTTCAAACCCCATGTTGGGTATGAAGTCTACTCAAAAATAAAATTTTAAAAAATGAAATGAAATGAAAAGAAAGAAAAGAAAAGAAAAGAAAAGAAAACAAAAAAAAAAAAAGCAACAGAAAAGAAAAAAGAAAAAAAAGAAAAGAAAAGAAAA